TTTATCTAAGAGGAATAAGAAGATATATGCGTTGCTTTACAACACTTTATTAGAGTTTAAGTTAAATATACTAATTTATATAGCGCTAGAGAGCTATAGTAAGCCTACGCACGCGTTTATTTTGCTAATGCTAGAAACTGCACTGCGCTAGATTTGCTAGCGCGTTAATAAGTATTAGCTTATATGCTTTATTAATGACATATATAATAACTCTATTAATAAGATTACAGTTTTAGATAATAATGCTATATCTAATAATATAATAGCTAGCTATAAAGGTACGTCTAAGTCTAAGCTCTGCGTACGCGCTAAACAAATGCGTTTGCTAAAAGAAACGTCTATAAGATAAGCTAACAAATAGTTAAAGGATAAACTAGATAGCGCTATTATGCAAACTATAGCAAGTACGTAGGATTAGATAAGTGCAAAGCAAGATAAGGTATTATATAGTAACTAGAAACAAAAGTATTACAGGTTTACGCAGAAGTTACTAAGTATAAGCATTAAGGTAGTTAGAAATATAATAAATAAAGCTGCAGTAATTAGAATAACAGACTGCTTAAAGAACTAGCAGTTAATATTAGAGGCGTAGAGATCTTAGCATTCTACTAGAAAACGTCTATTCTCTAGAGTTAAAGGCAAGCTTCTTATAATTTATGCCTATAATAATTCTAGTAATAAAGTAGAAAGTAATTCTTTTAGTATCTATTTATAGAGTTAACTAGTGCTATCTTAGCAGCAAAGCAATAAAGTTAGCAGTTTGCATTTAAGTTATGCTAAGGTAGACGAATTTATAGATTTATTTAACGCTGCTAGAAGAAGTTAGATAGTTAGTATTATTAAGGATATGCAATATTAATAGATCTTAGCTGCTATATATACACAGTATAAGACTCTAGTTATATTAGTCTAAAAGTAAGTAAACTTAATAGGTAGCAGAGGTAGAGAGTTTGCAATAGTAGTAAAAGAGCAGTTATTTAGATCTATATATTAGAGCTAAGAGAGCAAGCGCGCAACGCTAAAAGAGAATCTCTCTAATTAGAAGACATTTAGATAAGTTCTAGAGAATAGGCAGTAATAGTCTATACTAAAAGACTAGTTTAGTATTAGTATTTTTACTTTGCTGCTGCGAAGCATAGTATTAAACTACTTTATAGAATAGAGTTTACTAATAATAAGGTTTCTTTAATAGGTTAAGATAGTGCAGTTATATAATATAACTATTAAACTAGTATTGCAACGTATTAAGAATATATACATATCTTATATAATAGATAGTGCTCTGCCTCTACCTTTATAATTAGAAGAGGCAACTAAGAATAAGTTAGCAATTAGAGACTCTATAGAATTTCTTTTACCTATTAGTAACAGTTAACAATTAGTTAAGAAAGTTAGAGACAGCAATAATATTAGCGCAATATAGTATAGCATAAATATATAGGTTATTAAAGATAGCGTTATCGTTTAATAATAGTTCGTGTTAAGAGAAGAAGAAGATAGGCAGAGTTATTTTACTTTTCTTTAATGTTACTATAATAAGACCTAGAATATCTCTAATAACCTCTTATAACGTATTAGCAGTAGCTGCACTCTGCTTATATGCAATTTCAGCTACTAAAAGATATTAAAATACTTAACTCTGTTAAAATATCGCTTAACTCTGTTAAAATATTGCTTAACTCTGCTATAATATTGCTTAACTCTGCTATAATATTGCTTAACTCTGCTATAATATCGCTTAACTCTGCTATAATATTACTTAATTCTGCTATAATATCGCTTAACTCTATTAAAATATCGCTTAACTCTATTAAAATATCGCTTAACTCTGCTATAATATTACTCAACTCTGCTATAATATCGCTTAACTCTGCTATAATATTGCTTAACTCTGCTATAATATCGCTTAACTCTGCTATAATATTACTTAACTCTTAAGTATGCATAGGCTAGCTTAGCACTATTATTAACCTAATATTAGAAATCCTAATATGTATAGCAGTTCTTAGGTTTTTCAGCTATCTTCACTATCTCTAGCTTATCTCTAGATTTTCCCTAGATTCTGCCTAGCTTACTCTAACTTTGCTGCTGCACTGCCACTGCTAAGGATTTCAGCTACAAAGAACACTAACATTCTCTCACAAACTTCAACGCCCTGCAACTTTACAACGAGAAGAGCTATAAAAAAGATAGTTGCAGATCTGAAATCGCCTCGCAATTCTGCACAATATAGCCTACTAGAATATATCTGCAAAGTACTAGAACGTTAAGAGAAACTGCGATGAATGTTAGAGTTTTGATGTTCCTTTACCTATAACTTCAAAGCCTTGCATCTTAACGAGTATTAGAGCTATGAATAAACTGTTTAGAGATCTAGATTCCTCTTATAAAACTGCACAAAATAGCTTCTTAGAAATATATTATTTCCCCCTAGAAGGTTATTTATTTCCACGTTGCATTCCTACAACATAGCGCCTTACTAAGGCCTATTCTAATTAGCTAAGCTCTGCATTCTCACTAGAAATGCAGGTAGACTCGAGGACAAGCTCTATCGTTACTAAGATTATTTAAGTAGTAGTTAATAAGATAAGCAGAGTTAGAGAGTATCTAATTACTATAGTAAAGAAAGATAGAAGAAATTATATCTAGCTCTATAAAGTTAATATCTTAACTCTATAGCGCATAGCAAGAGTATAGAGTATACTCTATCTAGATAAGCATCTTAGAGGCTATATTAGATAGAGTAGAGGTAAGCTAGCTAAGGCCTAGCATTTAGCCTAAAGTATTAGCTTTACTAAGTTAGTTAGAAGTAATTAGATCTTCTATAGTAGTTATCTCTAGCATATTACTTAGTTTATTAACTTTAGTATTAGCAGTATATAGTTTAGAGAAGTATACGTTAACTTACTTAGCTTTATTATCTAAACTTAACTCTATATTAATAGAGAACGCTAGCACTAGTAGTAGCTTTAGCTTCTTTATAGGGCCTCTAGTTAAATATACTATTATTATTTATTTATTCTAGATATGAAACGCAAACTGGGGGTATCATTAAAAAACAAGCTAGACCAA